AGGGGAACAACAGAAAGATTTTTGGACCAATTTTTGTTTTGTAAGAATGTTAAAAACACTTTTTGTGTAACCAGGGGGCATCACTGCAAGTTAAAAAAAAATAAAAATACAGCCCCCAAGCCAGGCCGTTTCGTCTGCTGAGACCGAGTGAGTCAGACTGCTATCCGTTGTTCTACAATCTTGTAGGTAGGTAAGAAATAGTAGAAGAAATTGTACACAGATGATGATAATGCCTTCAACACAGTACTATACTTGTACTGTAAAGAGCCATTATCTTTTACAGGAGTTTACAGTTGGATTCTACTCGGGAGTGTTTATCCAACGCGCGCAATAATTGCGTGCACCAACAACACTTTATCTTTTTGCTATTACTCACGCAATTGCGTGCAAGGTATCGTAGCCTACTTTGCTATGCACGCAATTCCATGCTGTAATGATGTAGAATCTAGTCAAATTACCTTATCTAGATCTATATCTAGTAGCAGATCTAGATCTAGATCTAGTAGTCCTCAAAGTCAATCATGGATGTGGACCTTGCTAGCACACTCACACAAGTTAATAGTTAAGGGGAGGAGCAACCCTTGATTTTGCAGATTTTGGGTCAGGCTAAGCACATTTTATGTTGGCTGATTTTTGAAGATTAACCCTAGAAGCGCTCAGCGTTTCACCGGAAGTAACCCGCCAAAAATGCCCCGCCGCCACGGCCGATCAGTTGTAAACATGGGGGTTTGGCAGGGGGGAAACAGCTGAGATACCCGAAATGTATACCTGCTACACTGAAAAATGACCATTTACGGCTCAACAGATGATAAAAAGCATATAAAAGCATATATTTTCTTTAAGCTGATAGAATGAGCCATTCAAAAATGATCAGCCATCAAACAAATACAAACAATGCCGAGAACGCGATAGACTCAACAATTAGTACATCAGCACGGCGAAACAAGTGATAACACATAGCGTGTAGTCGCTCAGCGGGACCGCGTCACTTTATCGATCGATATCTCGGCCAAGAGACGCTCTACGAGGTCAAGATAACTTGCAAAGTCATTGGTCACTATTTATAACTTTGGCCTGTAATTGATCTACGTCATTTTCCATATAAGGAACACTGGAATTTTCCATTGAAAAGGGTCAGCGTCTATGCCCTTTAAATAGGGCCTGCGCGCTTCCCGGTCTAAGTAGGTCAGCCCTATATATAGGGCGTGCGCGCTTCCCGGGTAGCCCGGCTCACGCCCTTTATATAGGGCCTGCGCGCTTCCAGGGTTAACCATTTTTTCCCCTAAAAATAGCAGGGATACAATTGAGAAAGACTTTGTTCTCCAGGTAATTTGCCTTTAAAAACATGAGGATGGATTAATAGAGTGAATTTTCACAATTATTGTCGGTTTTCGCAAAATGTAATTTTTGTGGAGTTTTTTCCCTACTCCTTCCTTAGATAAAGTTTTCTTCCTTTTGACATGAAACTTTCAGGAAACATAGATATATCTAGTTGGCAAGGCTGCCATCAATGTGACTGAAAGATATTTGCGAAAAAGTAATACTTTTCCATATATGGCAAGCGATTACCGTCATTACGCAACCTAAAATATATACTTTAAATAGGAAAATTCTCATAATTTTTTTTCTTTTGCACTTATTGAAAAAAACTTGCTGTTACTCTGATAGGGTTTGGTTCAGGTATATGGTCAAATTTGGTCTGTAAATAAGAAAGCCTTAGGGCTTTGAAATTCATTGTTTATTTTCAAGATGGCGGCCGTTTCCATAGCAACCGTTGTAGCTATGCCAAAATAAAATTGTGTATCAAGAGATTTTACTATGTCTAACTTATATGTGTACTTCGATTTGATCTTGAGCAACAAACATAGAAAATAAATGGTCCTCAAGGGTAGCTCCTGCTCTCCTCCCGTTAATTTCACATGAAGCTACAGTAGGCTACAGCGAGCACCTAGCACGCCTCTGTGATTGGCCCAAATATCTATCTAGATCTAGATTAGATTCTAGATATTAGATGAGGGAGGACTTCCGTAACGAGCGACCACTATGAGACAGAGCAGAAAATTGAGGGCTAGAGATCTAGGGGTAGGGTTTAGGCTTAAGTTAGGGTTAGGGTTAGGCCTCTTCTTTATTGTGTTTAATGGGGTGGTCGCTCGTTGAGGAAGTCCTTCCTTAGATGATGTATTTCCGAAATCTATTTTTGTCGTTTTCAGGGGTTTCCCCCAAGGTGGATGGTTAAAGAATAAAAAGATAAAGTTGTATGAGAAATGTTGCCATGGTATTCTTTTGCTTTCCCTCCTGTTTCACATTTAACTACTATTGTCTCTTTTCTACTACATATTGATGCGCTGAAGAGCATAATTTATCTGATTATCGACTTCACTTCCGTCGCAAATTGATAGTTAAAAAAATGTTCAATGGTTACTAATGGAACTTTATCACACTAAGTCTTGAAGCCTAACTACGTAGTAATTTCCGCACTTTGGACCAATTGAAGTTTTGCAGTTAGGTTTTGACTAACCATGACAACAAAACTCAAAATGATCAAAACCATTATATTCATCCCAACACTCACTTACCAAGGCCAAACATGGACCACGAACAACACCTTAGAGCAAAGAATTACAACTTTTGAAATGCGATGCCTAAGAAAAGCAGTAAACAAGACCAGGCGAGACAAAATTAGAAACACAGTAATCAGAGAAATGGTAGGGACAAATGATGTCATGCATCACATCCAACTTCAAAGATTCAAATGGTTCGGACATCTCATGCGATTACCAACACACGACCCAGCACAACGTGCCTACATAAAAAAATTCGATGGCAACAAGGCAAGAGGGCGACTGAGAAAGACCTGGATAGATGGAGTCAGGGAAACATTGACCACCCATGGCATCCCCCGACCCAAGCTCTCCGGCTGGCGGCAGAGAGACGTCGCTTTCTTTCCGCAACACCCAAAAGGGTATAAGCGCTGATAAAAGTAAAAATAAAAAAGCAGTTAGGTTTGAAATTTTCTTGAAATTAATTGATTTATGACAATTTTAGTGGCTATGTATTGCAGTTTGACCCTCAAACTCAAAGCAGTGCGTCTGTGTGCGGGAGTGAAATAGATAGAATGTAGAATAGAGGGTTAGGGCGGATGGGTAGGGTAAGGTTAGGTCTCTACTTTATTGTGTTTGTTAGGGTGGTCACTCATTTCAGAAGTCCTTCTGATATGACTATGACTACAAACTAGGCTTAAAATTGAAAGTAGGGTCTCTCTTTTTTCTTAGAGTGTTTAAATGGTTGAAATCAACCCAAATATAGATCAAGTGTCAAGTGTGTTTGTGATTTTTAAAAATAATAACAAAATGGAGTTGAGCTGAAACTTGAAAAAATCCTAGAAAATTGAAAAATACTGATACATAATAACTCTGCCCGTAAACTGATCTCAACCAAATGAAGACATGCGGAAAATTCATTTCTTGAACTACCATAATAGCATAATTTTAAAGTTGCTGGAAGAGTTGAATTAAGATTAATTATCTTTTAATTTGAGCAAATAGATGGAAAATGAAGGAAAACCTGATAATCACAACTTTATAGGAAAAATGAAGAACTTGTCCATGCTGAACTGCACTAGAAACCAGTTCGTTGGAATCATTTTTATTTCCCAACACAGTTGCTCTAAGCTGCAGATCATTTTGTGTAGTCATTAAAAAAAGGAGTTTTTGAAAGCAAATTTTGTAAAGAGATATATTTTCTTTGTTCTAGGGATTCAGGATATATATCAGGACAGCTCCAGAATTTTTTTCCATGCTTGGGTGGAATTTAATTTTTGTCATTCGTAATAGAGAGGAGAGTCATTTACAAATTTGGCTATAATTTTTCTCCAAAGTAAAGCTAGATGTTTTATTCTTCATTTGAACAGGAAAGGAATTTTATTCAACATCTCACTGAATATCTTACCCTCAAACAATGTGTGAGGAAAGACTTAAAAAACCAAGAACTGTTGAGAATTAATTATCTAATTTGTATTGACAGGGGTGTAAAACATTTCCAGTCTCTATCACTATCACCCACTCTTTTTCAACCTTTGTTATTGTTGTGTGTGACTATATGATGTATCTAAGTTTGTGTAAAAAACAACTGATTGGCCTTAATGTATTAATTGTGTCCACGACACATGCATGTAGTAAACCAAACCCCAAACTTAGGTCTGTGTATTCTTGCCAGGTTCTAGAAAAACCGAGTGTTTTGCTGCTGTCTGCTGCGGCGATGGCCACGTCCCAAGATACGGTCAGTTCTGGCCTGCCTCCGTCTGACTGGATGGCCGAGCTGCCGGAGAAGCTACACACCTGGCCCCTCATGAAGCTGGCAATACCAGGTGAGAGGGAGGTGAAGGGTCAAGGGCAGATGTGGGTGGATTGAGTGTGGAGTGGGAGTTTGATTAGCCTGATTAAAAAGATCATTAACACAATGGGAGGTCATTTAGTGCAGGGAAAAAGTAAGACAGGCTGCATGTTTTAGGACTTTCTTTCCCGAATTTCCACTTTTCCCATATTAAAGAAAATGTCCCCCCCCCCCGGGAATGTTACTTCTAAAGCAGAAATCCACCACCATGTTGTTTGTTCCATTGGATCTGATAACTGTTTCATCTACTTCTTAGCATGCATTTTCACCCAGGTTCGAATGGATACCCAGCTATAGACAACGAATGTTTTTGTCAGGTTTTGAGTGTTTGAGCACTTCATCGGCTGCTTGCACTGTATGTTTTCTGGGAAGCTGAGAAAGTTTCTGGGTGTTCTAGGGTCTGCTGGGGTAATAATAGCTGTAAAGTGCATCGAGCATTCTGTTGAGAGTGAATATGCGCTATAAAAATGCAGTTATTATTATTATTATTATTATTATTATTATTATTATAGTCCTGTTTCCCAAGCACTTAAGTTTTCACCTATGACAGATTGTTGAAATCAAATTTTGTACAGGTTCGGTAATAGCCATTTAATCATTTATTAGTCTTTTATTGTGGAAATTCTACTTTTGCAGATTTAAGCCTGGCTAGTTCATTGGTTGGTAATATCACAGTCATTATAGCAGAATTATGAAAGTCAAATTTTTGGTGTTTATCTTTTTATTATAACAGTGTTTTGTTTCATTTGCTAAAAATTTAATAATTGTGACATTTTCTTCTTTGCTTATTAAGTTATAAGGTTGAATAAGGTAAGCACTTTTTCTTTAATTTTTTCCAAATAGATAAAAAATAGCTTAGGCAGTTTTGTTCTGGCTGTGACGACGTATTGTTACCCTGTGCACAGGTTCCCACAACTCTGCCACGTTTGGCATCGACCCAAAGGCCGAGTGTGCTCCGGACGCCCCGACAAACGTCGCGAACAGCGTGCGTGTGCCGGTGCTTGGTGAGGCCGTGAGGGCCGTCTGCCGGGCCTGGTCGGTATGTCAGAAGCTGGACTTCCGGCAGCAGCTGGAGTCTGGCATCCGCTACTTTGACCTCCGCATCTCCACAAAACCTGGATCAGAGGACTTTTATTTTGTGCACACGTTGTACGGGCCAAAGGTCAGTCTTTTTGTCTTATGATGTTGTTTTTCGGGGTTATATATGAAGGTATTGTACCACAGTTTAGATGAGTGTGCAAGTTGCGCTCGTTAAAGATCCCTTGGTGGTCTAAAACTGATAGTGGCTTCGGCCACCACCCAAGCAAAATTCAAAATTTTCTACCAACTGAAATTTTTTTAATGTGTCCCGCGGGCTCATATGACCTTACGCAGTTGTGAGTGCCGTAAAACACTTACAAAAAAAAAGCAACCCCCCCCCCAAAACAAAAAAAACAACAACAAAAAACAACAAAAACAACCCCAAACAAACAAACGATCAAACAAACAAACAAAATCCCCCCCCCCCAGTTTAGATGTTAGGTGACTGGTGTCTGTGGTGTAGCGGTGAAGTGCTTCGCTGTCACATGGAGGAGACCTCCCTAAGTTCCCACTGCTAACGATCCCGGTTCACTTAAGATCCCGGTTCACTTAAGATCCCGCTGTTTTAAAAAACCTGAAATTTTACCCTTCAAAAGTCACCCCTAAGATCCTGCTCTGATTCGCTCTGAAGGTCTACATTCGGCTAAGATCCCTCATTTCAGATCATAATTCACGGAACAAAAACCCGGGCGGGCACAGCCGATCAACCAAGAAAAGTTGAGATCAATGAATGGCCCGTAGCGTCAAAGATCAGCCATTACCGTGAATGTGATCACATAAGCGTTGTAAAACTCGATGAAATGGTACAATGTTTGCCCCTGACGGGATCACACCAAGCTGTGAACTGACCGCCGCCTTTGTTTTTTCTCCTAACATCGCACTCGCATCTGAGCTCTCCAACTAAACTTAAATCACATCGTTGGGTTGGCAGAGCCTCAAGCTCGCTCCAGGTGGGATCATATCAAACTGTGAACTCTTCCCTGACCGTTGCAGCCTTGTCTCTACTCCTGAATTTGTGAGACAGACTAAATTTTAATTGGTGTGGTCCCCACAATGTAATAGTGCATGACAAAGTCGGGGGAACTCGGTCAGAGATGGAAAGCTATACATTTTGGACAGGTAAAGGGGAGGGGCAACTCAATAAGCATAGATCTTGAGACTGAGACTCACGATAAGATAATAAGTATAAATGGCATGCCTCATTCCATAATGATTGGTCATTAAGGTTGACCACTCTTTGCTTGCTGTATGTCTTAAACAGACCCAGGGGTCACGTCAGTTCATTTTAGAGTGGAGGGAGACCATTTTACCGATTGTGAGCCTTAACATGGGTCACCGTAGATTCTTCCCTGAGTTTGTCGGCTAAGATCCCGCAGTTTCCTTGCTCCCGAGCACAGAGATCTTAGTCGGAGACTACTGTGTCTTGGTCTTTCTGCTGGGATGTTGTGTCCCTCTCAGCCTGGATTGGTCCTGACAGGCAGCGTCAGAAGCCCACCTCCTGAATGATCTACGTTGTGTCAATTGAGTCATAAAAAAAAACTACTATTGAAAAAGAAGATGCAAAAGGATGTTAGATGTTTATCCTATTGGTAATATTTTATACCAGTAGGGTCAGATAGGAGAGATGAGGGACCATTGATTCTTGTGGGAAAACATTTGGGTAACTGGGTTTTTCTTTCTTGATTCATAAAATTTTGAGCTCTGTCCCTGATATTTGTGAATTTTGTTAGTGAAATCAAAACACTTATCTCTCCTTTTCGCAATATCTCTAATCTTTGGCACTTATCAAACCTAACTGAGTTGCAAGTGCTGTAAGATTCTTTACAAAAACTAAAACTGTTTTTTTCTGACTTATATACATATATATATATGGCTATTCCATGCAGTATATCTGGGCTGTCATGACGACTGCTGGGCTGCCTAAATTGACAGATTTTTCCAGTAGTTACTGATTTTGGACCTGTTCTACTGCCATACCGATAAAGGTTTAAAAACTACCTGATCTTCGTTTAGCACCGAGAGTAAAAGAAAAAAAAAAGCGTGTTCTGCAGTGCTTCCAAACTTCCCTGTTTTTGTCAAAATCCATATTTTCTGAAAGTTCTGTATTTGCCGCATCATCATATCAGCTCCATGAGTGTAAAAAAAAAAAGAAAGAGAGAGAGAGAGAGACAGCGTTGGCTCATCAGCATTCCGTAGCAAAGGATCAGTACTTGCCTCCTTAACCTCTCGGATTTTACAGTGACTCTCGGCAGTAAGTTGTACATCTGGGTGTCTAAAAAGAAGAGGACCAACTTAAATGGCAATAACTTGGTTATCTTTGAACTAATTTTGATCAAACTTCGCAGAAATAAAATTCAACTATGGGGACGGTACATTTATCTGTAGGGAAAAAATCAATGTATTTGGTAGGAAAATATCAAATTAAAAACATTTCTACCAAAATTGACTTAAATGCAAAAAACTTTGCTACTTCTTAAAAGTCAACCATATTGTTCTGTTTCAAATAGTCACTATTAATGCATTTAAAGAACAAATTCCTACAAAATTGATATTGCTAAATAAAATCAAGGAAGGTGTTCGCTATCTAAATCTCCGGGTGTAGATAATTTCTTTCTATACAATCTCCCAATACGCCACTCAAAATTTTGAATAACTGTGGTGGCATGTTTCTGGGTGGATTCTTTGGACGTCCTGTTCAACAGTGAGTTTCAAATGTTGGATTGTTTTCCGGTTGTTCCCCTAGACCCTGTCTGTCAAAAAAACCCAAAGGTAATAATCGAAGGGGCTCAAGTTGGGAGGAATGTAGCAACCATTTATTTGTTAATTGTGGCTTACAAGGCGTTCCCCCAACCTTTCTTGCAACCATATTATTGTCAGGTCCACTCTTGATGTGTGGGTTGTGACCCATCCAACTGGAACCAGGCCTGTGCAACATAACACATTCTCCCCAAACTTCCACAAAACTTTCTAAGCATGTTTAGATATTTGTCTGTGGTGACGGAAACCATACCGGGCCAATCACTCCCCCGTAGCTACACGCTTGTACGAAATAGAATTTTGCGTTTTACCCAATTTTGGTTGAAATTTTAAAATCTTGATATTTCTGGAGCACATTGATTGATTTTCTTCATATTTACAAACTTAGTGTTCTCGTGGTTGAATGTATACATTCTGATTTTTGTTCAAATTAGTGTAGAGATGACCGAGTAATTACCCTTTAAGCGGGTCCTCTTTTTTAAGACATCCTGTATTTGAAACTGCCAGATTGCGCATTTCACACACTTGACCATTGTCCCTCTATGCGGTTGGCAATATATTTTCACGGTCTGTCTAGTTCCAGAGAATTTGTCAGTACTGGTAGGAGGATTCTACGGCAGCAGGATAAGGCAGGGGTGCAAGAAACTGATGCTAAAATATTAAAAAAGTGGAAGTGGTGCTCAGCGGTTTTAACATTCGACAATGGGACGTGTAAATGGAGGAAAATTAGAATACTGGCTTGGTGATTGTATCATCAGAATTGATGTTCTTACATTTGTGAGGCATCATAGTGAAATCAGGCGCTCGTCAAAATAGGCTAATGAAATCAAATAAATCTGTATTTTTTTGGCCGATGGGCAATTTTTTAAACTAATATTCTTTTTTTGGCTCAACACCTTTTATGTCTATTTAAAAACACATTTCTGTGTGGATTTTACTAAAAAATACGGTGATTAAAGGTGCAAAAAATGTAAATTTTCAGTTTCCATGGACTCGCAAGCTAAGTAAATAACTCATTTTTTGGTGGCCGTTTTCTCACTAATTTTAGCTCTGAGACCAGGTGACCCCCACCTCCTTCATTCGCAAATGTCTCAATTTCTATTCAATGGATTATTTTTTCATTCAAAACAAGACAAATGAAAAAGCTCTTAAGATGTTACCAACAATTCCACATGCCGAAAAATTGACGAGCGCCTGATTCCACCACGTTGTGACTCATTTGCTTAGCCTACTGTCAATGGTGCCATGACAAATTTGAGTAGAGGAAATTGAAAAAATGCCATTTTCAATCCTTGGAAGGCTCTAAATTTCAATGTGGACCTTCTGGAGGAAAAAAACCACATTTTTAAGATGCATTTGGAAGTTGATCTGCTTGACGCGGTACTTGAGGATAAGATCTGGAAACTAAATTTTATGATTAGAGCCCTGTGCGGCATAGTGCCCCTATGTTGGATGCCTGTACATCATAATAGTTTGTTACTGATTAAAACTGGTTCTGTTACTAAGCATTTTGGAAAAAAATTAATATGTAGTATTTTCGGCATCACTACATCCCACACTCTCATGGTCACAGTCCTTTCAGCTTCGGCTCTAAGTACATGCTGTCTTCCACTGTCACTGTTTGCTCTGCCGTTAGCCGATCTATAAAGTTTTCTTTAAATAAATTTTGTCTTGCATGCTTTTTAAAATCCGTGAATGCTGAAACCCAAACATGGTTTTTACAGTTATGTTCTGGCCTTTCCACAGGCCAAGATCGGGATTCATGAAAAAATTTTTTTAGAGCAAAGCTAGTTCAAATATTGTCTGTCATACCACAGTCAGACTGGACTTATCAGTGCACTGTTGGTATGCTTTTGTGAGAATATATGTTTTAATAGCTTCTTTTAATACGGGCTGAGTTTTGAAGTCAGTTTGACAGTCTCCTTGCGCTCAATTCCACATTCAAGACTGATTGATGGGTGCTTTGAATGATTGATGGGTGCTTTGAATGATTGATGGGTGCTTTGAATGATTGATGGGTGCTTTGAACGACATTTCATACCCGCCCCCCTCCTCCCACGTACATAAATACACGCAAGGGTACATATACACACACACACACACACACACACACACACACACACACACACACACTCACACACTCACACACATTTTAAAAATATGATTACCCAATATCACGAAAAACAAGCCCCACATGTACATCTTTTTTTAGACAAAAAGGGATTGAGAAAACAAAGAGTGCTGAGGGGGTTGAGGTGAAACGTGATGTTGAGGGAAAGAAAACTCTCCAACAACAGTGGCGGAGGAGATAAATCCTCAGACAAAGGAAAGAACGTTGTAACATGTATAGGGGCCTACATTTTGCCCCAACTTACTTACACGGTTTCTAAGTGGGTGGTTTGCAGGGGCCTACATTTTGCCCCAACCTACACGGTTTCTAAGTGGGTGGTTGGCAGGAGCCTACATTTTGCCCCAACCTACACGGTTTCTAAGTGGGTGGTTGGCAGGTGCTCTGGTATGGTTTGTTCCCCCCCCCCCCCCCCCAGCGTGACAGCCGTCGTTAGTTTACATGGGTGACGTCACTCCCAGCGAGCTCAAGTAATACGCGTATTTAAAATCTAAAAAAAAGAAACCTCTTCAAGGGGAAGCAACCATTAAAAAACACCTTTGGATTAGTTATTACAGGGTTATGTTTCCTGAACCCATCCCGCGCGCTCATATGACGTTATGCAGTTGCGAGCGCGTTAAAACACTTTACAAATTAAAAAAAAAAAAATGTCTGATTTTGTAAGCACACCTCACAATAATTGATTTTTCTCTTTCCTCCCAAACTACACCTCACAATAATTGTTTCTCTTGTCTCCCAAACTACACCTCACAATAATTAATGTTTCTCTTTCCTCCCAAACTACACCTCACAATAATTATTGTTTCTCTTCTCTCCCCAAACCTCAGCTGAGCGAGATGCTGGAGTCGGTGAGCTCGTACCTGTCGGAGCACAGGAAGGAAGTGGTTCTGCTGGACCTGAACCACTTCTACGGCATGGAGGAGGAGCACCACGCCATGCTGCTCTCGCTGCTCACCTCGCACTTCGGGGAGAAGCTGATGCCGTGTGGGGACCCGCGCCAGGTCACGCTGAGGCACATGTGGGACCTCGACAAGCAGGTGGGAGCTGGGAGCCAAGCTTAGCTTGGTGTTCAAGTTTTGTTTGTTTTGGGTTAACTGTTGGGGCCCAAGCTTGGTTTGGTTTTGATCTTTTGGGGGGTCAACTCTGGTGGCCTGTGGGTGGTTGGCGGGTGCTGTGGTGTGGTCTTCTCCTTCTTTCCTGTTTTGTTTGGGTTATCTCTTTTCCTACCATACCATGGTTCTCAACATCATCGTGACCAAGCCAGTTTTTCTTTTCTGACTCTAGTCAGAAATAATTAAATTTTGTTAAATTTTTCAAAACTCGAATGTGTCATATGGTATATCATAATACAAGGAAATGAGTCACTTATCAGAGGATTCAAAGAACACAAGTAATCTGAGTAGTCTGAGCCTATAAAGTAATGGTTTGATTATCTGAGTCATAAAACTCTGGCTGGAAGAGATGGAAGAATTTGCCGAGCTGCAAGACACGACTCACGGCCTCCAAGAATGTGTATGTCACCATCATCATTGCCTTTCTCACCCTGCACCAGGGTATAGGCCACGGACAAACACCTTCCACTTTTCTCTATCCTGAGCTAGCCTCTTGATGTTATTCCATATGTCACCTTACTCTCGGACTTTTGTCTACCCTCAGAATTTTTCTAGTCTCCCAGAACCTTGCGGTTACCCTCTGTGTGTCTCCTGTGTGTGTCTCCTGTGTGTGTCTCCTGTGTGTGTCTCCTCTGTGTGTCTCCTCTGTGTGTCTCCTGTGTGTGTCTCCTCTGTGTGTGTCTCCTCTGTGTGTGTCTCCTGTGTGTGTCTCCTGTGTGTGTCTCCTGTGTGTGTCTCCTGTGTGTGTCTCCTCTGTGTGTCTCCTCTGTGTGTCTCTGTGTGTGTCTCCTCTGTGTGTCTCCTCTGTGTGTCTCCTCTGTGTGTCTCTGTGTGTGTCTCCTCTGTGTGTCTCCTCTGTGTGTCTCCTCTGTGTCTCCTCTATGTGTCTCCTCTGTGTCTCCTCTATGTGTCTCCTGTATACCTCTGTTGTTTTGTGTTTTCCCTTTTCAGTTTGCCTACGACAACCCATTGTGATCAAAGTGACATTGACTTTCCTTTCTTTAAATTTAAGGCAGCTGAAAGTTCCGATTTGTGTCAAAATTATGGATTTTGAGATGTGGGCATTTTTGGCTTCTGTGCCCCCTTCCTCCCTGTTCTGGTGTCATATAATGGGGTTTTTTTCTTTGCTGTTGCTCGCAGACGACATTCATTTGATTCCTCATTAATGAAATCTTTTAAATTGAGTATCTTTATCTATCTCCTGGAATATTGCATCCCACACAGCCTAGTTGGTGCTGACAGATGGGGTCAAAGGAACCTTCATCTTAAATTATCTAAATTGTCTTGATGAGGGCATACAAGATTGCAGTCATATTTTTGTGGAGAGCGTAAAAGATTATATTTTATTTGAGGGCGTACAAGATTGCAGTCACATTTTTGTTGAGGGCGTAAAACATTACAGTCGCTTTTTTTTGTTGAAGGCATAAAAGATTAGTCACTTTTTTTGTTGAAGGCATAAAAGATTAGTCACTTTTTTTGTTGAAGGCATAAAAGATTAGTCACTTTTGTTTTGAGGGCGTAAAAAATTACAGTCACATTTTTGTCTCCCCCCCCCCACCAGGTCCTTGTGTTCTACCAGCACGACCTGGCTTCTAGCTTCACGGAGGTGTGGCCGGCGTCCTCCATCATCGCCCCCTGGGCCAACACGCCCCACGAGGAGCAGTGCCTACAGTTCCTGTCCCAGCGGTTTGACCAGCCACAGCCCGACCACTTTGTTGTCTGTCAAGGTCAGTGGATGGTCAGCTCATTGCCTGTTTTGTTGGTGTGCTGGTAAAAATTTTGCTATATATATGTAGTATAACACAGATAGCTCGATTATGTTGGGACCGGCCTTGGTAGTTGGAGGGATCCGTAGTTGGAGGGATATCTTACAAAGATAAAGAAGAAAAAAAGAACGGGCCTGCAGGCACCGTAAGACGGATGCGTGATTTCGAGTTTTCTGTGTTCAACATATCCGTGTTATACTGTAATACCTAGTGGTTTCTTTTTAAATCTAGGAAGGCTTCAAATTCCAAACTGTACATCATCAAAGGAAAAAACCCCAACACATTTGGTACACGTGCAACATTTTCTTTTCAGTCAGTTTGAGGGAAAGTCACCTTTAATAATATTATTTCAAATACCCATCAGTCTCTCTGAAAAGTTCTGGGAAATGACATCTAAAGTACAGTTCATCCAAAGTTTAAAAGGTTTCGGGTCGTGAATAAAAAAAATTAAAAAAATTACAGGAATGATAAAATAGCAAATTGCCTGAATAATGTGTTTTTGAGAATAAAATTATTGAAAAGTTTCCAAGTAAAATACCCTTGTGTGTCCTAAATGATATATGTAATTAATGCCATTTTTGGAGCCTGTAGTGTACAAACAAAGGCATAGTTATATAAGTGTATTGTGTCTGAGGGCACCACTGGTACTGGATATCTTAAAGACAAGAGGACCCCCTTAAACGGCAATAACTCGGCCATCTTTGAACCATTTTAAATCAAATTTAGCAGAAATAGAATTCAACCATATGTCAGTGTAAAAAAAATTAATCCATTTGTTAGAAAAATATAAAATTTTAAAAATTTCAACCAAAATTGGCTGAAATGCAAAATTTTGCAACTTCTTAAAAACCAACCATATTTTTCTATTTGAAATTGTCACTATATGTGCATTGAAGAACAAATCAATACAAAGTTTTACAAAATAAACTCACGGGAGGTAGCCATTATTTAAATCTCCAGGTGTAGACCATTTCTTTCCATACAAACTCTAAAACGCCACCGGAAATTCTGAATAACTCTTGTGGCATGTTTCTTGGTCGATTCTTTGGACGTCCTGTTCAACATTGAGTTTCAACTATTTGATTGTTTGTGGGTTGTTTCCCTACACCTGTCTGTCAAGAACTCCCAAATGTAATAATCGAAGGGGGCTCAATTTGGGAGGAATGTGGTAACCATTTATTGGTTAATTGTGGCTTATAAGGCATTCCCCAAACCTTTCTTGCAACCATATCACTGTCCCCGTCGTTTTATTCAAGAAAAATTCTGAAATTATGCGAACTGAGCCCAAAAATGTGAAATTATGCGATTCTGTTAATTTTAACAAAGAATGACAAAGGAAAATAATCAGAAATTATGCAAAAAATGATCAAATTTTGCTAAATTATGCGGGGTGCATAAAATCACGGGAACAGATATCAGGTCCACTCTTGATGTGTGGGTTGTGACCCATCCCACTGGAACCAGTCCTGTGCAACACAACACATTCCCCTGCCCAAACTTCCCCCAAACTTTCTTGGCATGTGTAGGTTTACTATCTGGGGTAACTGTTGTGGTTTTACCATCCTTTTCCTAAAACCATAACGAGCTGGTCATGCCCCTGTAGCTGAATGCATATATTTTCAGAGGTATAATTTTGTGTTTTACCCAATTTTGGTCGAAATTTTTGAAATTTGATATTTCTTGAACTCATTGATGTCATTCATGTTTACAACATTGACGTCCCCATGGTTGAATTTTATTTGTTGATATTTTAAAAAAATCAGTGTAGAGATAGAATCTAGATATAGCTGAGTTATTATCCTTTACTGCATCCCCCTTTTTTTAAAGACACCTGAACTATAACCATTATCGTGTCAGATAGCTTCTCTTTGCACAAACTCTTATTCCTTTGTGATACAAAATACAGTGCAGCCTCTCTATATTGACCTTCGATATAACGACGTCCTCTGTTTAGCGACAGGTCCCGATTTTTTTCCGATATATTTTTGGTTGCCTCTCTATTACGACAACTGTCGATAACAACATTTTTTCTGGTCCCAACAATGAAAGAGAAAGGCTGCCCTGTAACCATCATTCTGTCTATGAAATTCTCTTTCCTTAAACTCAACTAAATTTTTAACCAGACCCTGGCTCAGCTTATTTTAGAAATAAAATCCGTGAAGTCCAAACCAAAACTTATTTAAGTTCTACTTGGGAGGAAGGAAGGGGGAATGATATTGACCATCAGTCTCATCTGAAATCACTTTCTCTCCCTCCCCCCAGGTATCCTGAGCCCCACCCCCAGCCACTTCCTCAACGTGTCCAGCAGTCTGGAGTCCATGGTGTGTCGCTTCCGGCCCCGCATCTATTCCTGGATCAGCCAGCGCGCGGCCACACACCCGTACAGCCTCAACATTGTCATGGTGGACTTCGCCCAGGGCGGGGACTTTGTGCAGAGGGTGCTGAGTTTGAACCTGACGCGAGCTGAGGCAAAATGAGGGCACGGACCGAGAGGAATTCTTACTTCATCATTACCGGGACAGTGACAGTGAAAGGACGCTGCTGATTGTGTCATGTGTGTGTGCTGGTGTGTGGCAGACTGTCATAGGATGTGTGTTGTATTGGATGTGTCATATCGCATTGTGCCACATAAGATGTGTCATATCATATATTGTGCCTCATAAGGTGTGTCATATCATATGTGTCACATAAGGTGTGTCTTATCCTATTGTGCCATACAAAATGTGCTATAGCTTGTTCACTTTCGTCTGACCGCGGTTAAAAACGGAATAAAAACAAATTTCCGTGTTTAATCTTTCTGTGTCTTTGCATTCGGGTCTAAAAGTTTAGCGACCAACAGAATCTAAAAGCCCATTCATAAAAGTCACTGCAAACTTAGGTTCCAACACTTTTCTTTGATGTAAGCCTAAAGCGGGTCAACAAAATGATAGGGGATTTACAGCATACACCTTAAACCAAAAAAGTTGACATATTTTCCTCAACACCACACTCTAACGTTTGCCAAAGAAACACGATTCAAGAGACGGGGTGAGTCTTTTTCGAGACTCACGTGGAGCACGTGGAGGCATTTAGACAACCGGGAGATGAAATCTTCAAGCTTACACTGAAATGTTGGAGCAGGGTGCTGTCGCTGTCTCAAAATGAGCAATTTTTAGGCAAGGTTACTGAAAGTCATTTATTTTAGTTATCTTGTGTATGCATCCAAAGAGCTGTTTTTAATATAGGACCCAAAGAGAAAAACTTTTTTATTACTGGGTCAAAAATTAAAAAACAACAACTTTTGTTTATGGTCGCTAGCCTGCAGAAGTGCCATGCAAAGTTTCGTGGACATCGATAACTTCCTCAATGAGCTTGAATTTTTTTACACGGTCAGATGAAGATGAACAAGCTATATATATTGGTTGTGTCACCGACAGTCCTGATGACGTCACTGTAGGCGTACTGTGGACAGTCCTAAAGTACCGGCGTCTGTGGTGTAGTGGTTAAGATCTTCACCACCGCATGCAGCATGCAGAAGACTTGAATTTGATTATTCATTGTTGCAATTCATTGGAAAGCTGTGAAAATGTACCAAGCCCTGAAAACAAAATATTTCAGAAGAGGAAAAAACTTCCATTTTAAAGCAATTGTAGGTACCCATGTAATGTATCTTTTTTTGCTTTTATTAACATTTAGAATTTGAATTTCCCCAATATATTTCTTGAGCGTATCACAGATCATACGCAACTAAAACCACATATCACTTGCAACTAAAACCTCAGATCACACGCAACTAAAACCACAGATTACATACAAATAAAATCACAGATTACATGCACAATCACTTGCAACTAAAACCACAGATAAAAAAACTGCAATTTTTAAAACTGTCAAACTTTTTGGGCTTAGTACATAGTAGCTGACCAACTGACCAATGAATTAGTCCTTTCGTCACATAATGGATGTGTGTGGAACTTTCTTGGTGTAGTCACGGCATGGGATGAGTGTGCTGGCCTCTGGGAGACCTGTACACAGTACACAGACCTGCCTATGTTTACAAATTATTCGCAATATTACGAAAAAAATGCCAAATATTTTACCCCATTCCGAAAATACAAATGTACTGTGAAAAGTCAGAAAATCGAGTCAATTTTATGAATAATTAATTCTACGACTAGATTGCACCGAAATAATTCTTTAACTCCCAGCAGTTTTGCCTGTTTTGGCTTTTTCATTTATGTTTCAGGGGTCCTCCATACCCTCAAGCCTCATGTTTATCCACTCCAGCTTTCTTAAGGTGTGGCATATTTTTTGTGTTACTAAAAATAAAAATAGATGCAGTAACAGAAATCGGACTACCCCAACAATTATGAAGATGAAATTTTTTTTTACAATTTAGAGTTTACATTACTTTATGACAAAGCACATTGAATTCTGCATGTAATGTGTCAAAGACACCTCATTCTGCCTGTAATGTGTCAAAGACACCTCATTCTGCCTGTAATGTGTCAAAGACACCTCATTCTGCCTATAATGTGTCAAAGACACCTCATTCTGCCTATAATGTGTCAAAGACACCTCATTCTGTTGAGAATAAAGAAATGAGGGCCGTTCTTGTGCATTCTACAAATTCTCGGTTATTTCCCTTGAAACTGGAAATTTCAGAGCGAGAATTTAAAATAAAACCATCAATTTTAATACCTATTCTATATTTTTTTGTCTATTTAGTCATTTTTATTTGATAAGAATACCTTACAAATCTTTCTTTAGAAAAGTAAATGTATTTTATGGGCGAAATACCACATCACAAGCCATCGTATATTTATACGATATAGTACTGCATGAACTGCTGGGAGTTAAGACGATCATGAGTAGGCCTATTCGTTAAACGCTGGTTTCCAATAGACTGATTAGGCCTACTGTTTAGTATCGTTTGTTCTTTATACGACTTGTGGTATCGGGCGCGTAGTTTCCACAATACGTCTTGATTCTATATTTGGAATACAACAGCAGTTTTTTTTAAAACTCCACCTTGTTATCACACTTTTGAATTCAGGATTCCTTCCGTTTTCCCGGCGAGGAACGTAATTTTGTCATTCGGCAACGCTTAGGTCTAATTGATTTCACGTAGGCCCCTACTTTATATAAGGAAAATAATACTAGCTATTACTAATTTTTAAGTCAAATTACTAATTTTTGGCAGTTTTATTACCGATTTTTAAAGTCTCAAGTAGGCAGGTCTGCCTGTACATTGTACCGATGTGTGTTTGTGGAGTGTCTGATTGCTCTGTGAGCCTGTACCAGTCTGTGCTTGCTCAGCATTTATTTTTTTGGTGATTGTGTAGGTTTTTTTTGTTCTAGTAAGGTTTTACGGCGCTTGCAACTGCATAAGGTCATATTGGCGCCATTGTGTAGGTCTAACACCCCTTTCAACACTGGAACATTACACAAAAGGCTGGACTCTGAATCTAACGTCCATCTCTGAATCTGATAGGACAGAGCCGGATGGATGGAGAGCCTTAAAAGCTCCCACAACAAACTTAACTTATAATGGCCAGTTGAGGATTTGAACCATGGTCATTTGCTGTGTACTACAGCATGATACCGACTGAGCTGACAGTGCACCCTATTCTGTGGTTGATGGACCAAGTTCTGCTTTTCACCTGGGAGCCAAGTTGAGTGTATTAAAAAAACAACTTTTAGTGTACCCGCACGCACAGACTCTTTTTTATGTGATTGTGATTGATATGTAGGGCCTGTATATGTGAGGCATCGTGATGAAATCAGGCGCTCGTCAAAATAACCAAATCAGAGAACCAGGCATTTTTCTGCCAGTTTAACGATTTTTATAGTCCACATAAAAAAGCATTTCCATGTGAATTTTACTGAAAAACAAAATGCGTTATTTTTCAGTTTTCAAAGACTCTTTAGCTACTGGAGTTACCAAACTTTGGCGGCCATTTTCTCACTAATTTCACCACTGAAACCAGGCGACCTCATTTCCTTGGATAGTTATTTCATTAGAAGCAAGGGAGATAAATCAGCTTTCAGATGATACCAATAACTCCACATGGCCAAAACTTGACGAGCTCCTGATTCCACCGCGTGGTGACACAATTAGTCCTGTTGTCACGATGGACGTGTGGGGGGAACTTTCCTGGTGAAGTCACTCAGGGTGAGTGTGGTGGGTTCTGGGAGACATGTACATATGTACCGATACACTCCTTGACTGAAACAGGGAAAAGTATCATGTTCGCATGGATACCTAGCCATGTGAGCATCCGAGGAAATGAGCAGGTAGACGACCTGGCGTAGAAATCCTTATCCCTTCTGCTGGGATCAACGACGAACACTCTCCCACAGACTGACTTTAAAAATAAAGTAAAAAAGTACACCTCCAGCCTGTGGGAGAGCCACTGGAAAAAAACAAACAAATAACAAACTCCACAATATTAAACCCAAAACGCGAAATCTTTCGGGCCTCTCCAGAAAAGACGAAGTCATTTTTACTCGATTACGCATCGGACACACGGCCCTAACACACAAATACCTCCTTCTGGGAGATGAGAAGCTGTTCTGTGTTGGATGCGGCCCGACACAGATTTTACCATTAGACACATGTTAACAGAATGTCTAGACTTCGTAGAGACCTGAAAGAAATACTTTAATTGCAAAAAATTACAAGATATTTTCTCTGTCGTTGTTCCCAACAGAATCTAGATTTTATGAAGGCCATTGGGAAGTTATGAAATAGATTATTTGAAATTTTAAAGTGTTATTTAGAAAGTTGTTTGAAATTTAAAATGTATTTACACTCGATTTTTAGCGTTAAAAAATTTTTAATTAGTAATATTGACCAGAATAAGGCCGTGAAATGAGCTTTTGAGAAAAAAACCAACTTGTTCCGCGCGCTCATATGACCTTATGCAGCTGCGAGCGCCGTAAAACTTGTACTATAAAAAAAAAAGTGGAATGTCTGAGCTCTGTGAGTCTGGACTGGTCTGTGCTTGCTCATCCTTATGTAGGTCGTACGCCCCTTTCAACATTGTAACCTGACTCAAAAGGCTGGACTCTGAATCTAACAACCATCTCTGACAGTGATAGGACTGAGCCAAGTGGATGGAGAGCCTTAAAAGCTCCCCCTAAACAAACCAAGCTCATAACGACAAGTTGGGGATTCGAACCAGGGCCATTTGCTGTGTAATACAGTATGATATCAACTGAGCTAATTAAACAGTTTGCTGTGTGATACAGCATGATACTGACTGAGCTAATTAAACAGTTTGCTGTGTGATACAGCATGATATCAACTGAGCTAATTAAACAGTTTGCTGTGTGATACAGCATGATACTGACTGAGCTAATTAAACAGTTTGCTGTGTGATACAGCATGATACTGACTGAGCTAATTAAACAGTTTGCTGTGTGATACAGCATGATATCAACTGAGCTAATTAAACAGTTTGCTGTGTAATACAGCATGATATCAACTGAGCTAATTAAACAGTTTGCTGTGTAATACAGCATGATACAGACTGAGCTAACAGTGCACTCTATTCTGTGGTTGTTGGACCAAGTTCTGCGTTTCACCTTGGGGCCAAGTTGAGTATTTAAAAAAAACTTTTAGTGTACCTGCACGCACAGACTCTTTTTCATGTGACTGTGATTGATATGTGTATATATATTTAAATATATTTATTATATATATGTTCATGCTTGGAATTAGAAAGCCAAAATTTCCTGTGCTTCACAGTGGAGTCCGCTTAAATCAAAATCTACAGAACCGCCAAATTGCTTTGGTTTAGCTGTGTT